GTTTCCCGGTTTCCGTGTTTCCCGGTTTCCGTGTTTCCCGGTTTCCGTGTTTCCCGGTTTCCGTGTTTCCCGGTTTCCGTGCTTCCCGGGGGCGCAAGGTGAGGCCTTTCGGGGCAAGGTGCTTGCAAAACTACCCGGGGCGCGCTAGAGTGCAGAATTTGCCAAGTCGGGCTAGGGTACACAATTAGGCGAATCGGGATAGGGTACGAAATTCGAGGAGGGTACAAAATTAGCCAAATCGGGGTAGGGTACAAAAGAAGGCGAATCGGGTGAGGGTATGAAATTAGGCGAATCGGGGTAGGGTACCAAAGTGGCGAAGCCGCGCAGCCTCCGACGGGAGGGCTTTGGCTCCCGCGGTTCTGCTCTTCCGACGCTAGACAAAAATAACCCCTGCGACCCCAGCAAACCTCTGCTTTTATATATATTATGCATGACAGGCTCCGGTAGTTCCGGTAAGAGCCCAGTAAATAGCACTACAATCATGTTGTCCAAATTTGTCGTGCTAAACCTGGATCCTTGCCGACGCTTGTCTTGCTGTTCATGCCCTGCTTCAAATGAGCGGGAGGGGGACCAGTTGGGCAGCTGCACTCTCATAAGACTACACTTGGTGCTACGGTAGCTGGTCTTCCTGGTCTGCGGAATCCTGCCTCCAGTACTATATTTGAATTTTTACCCCGGACTGAGTTTCTATTTTGTTTTTTGACTTTTCGCGATCTGAGCTGTCGCAGTACATAGATTTGTTCTTGTTCATACGTGCTGCCGTTGTAGTCTTTCTCCTTTGTCTTTCTTGTTCCGTTTTCTTCGTAAATCCTTCGCATTTTACCGTTTTTGGTTCTTTTGCAAATCCACCTATAAATCAGAACGACAACTCATTTATAGAAACACGTGCGGTGCCGGAAGTCTATCCCAAACACGTATCCATTGCACATACTTATCGATCTGTGTCCTCTGGAAGAATGCGACGAGATTTGTCATGCTAGATAGTATGGCATGTTGGCACACGACACTGAGGAGCTCTGTATTTTTGCAACGCCAGCAAGAGCTCGCCCACCGCTTTTCTGTCATGCAGAAACGCTGTTTGTCATGCGTTGAATACGCAAGAACACGGAGTCATGCTACGAAAAAAGCGTTTCGTCATCGACTTGGTGGAGGTGCATAGATAAGTACTTACAGTTGTGTGGCTTCTATTCATTGCCATGCGTCACAACTTATTTTCAGACCTAGATCGACAAAAATATTTGCAAGAATGCATAACGCGATCGCGGAGCGTGATCTGGTGGGGCTGCACGAGCCATTATGACCGCGACGGCTACGACATGGAAAATATCTGTCCCGATCGGTATGGCTGGACGACCTCTCCCAGCACGGCGATCAAAGAGAAGGAATCGACATATTGCGACGTGGGCAACTCCAACTTGGACAAGCACTATCCCTGTTCCTGTGGCGATTTCGATTGCGCCGGCGCGGGGCTGGTCCGGAAACCAAACGCGTGGGCCCGGTCCTGCTACAGTAGCCTCTGCAGCTCTCCCATCGACGACACGGGCTTCCTGGCGCAAAACAAAGCGACGTGTTGCGTGACGTCGACCGAGTACGCAGAGATGCTCGCAAACCTCGTCCCTGCTTCCTGCAACCCGGGGGCGGCGGGGGCCTGGGGCTTCTTGGGCGGGGGCCAATATGGTGGGCTCGTGGTCGAGCTGCGCAGCTGCAGCGTCGCTCACAGTGACTCCGCAGCCAACGTAGACGTGTGGGCGTGGGACGAAATGGGCGAAAAATCGCAGAAGAGCGTGAAATTTACCGGCAAGTCGCAAACGAAATATGTGACCTTTTCCGACGCGGATACTTTCCTTTTCCAGGGCACCTTTGTGACCACGCTGCGGGTGCGCCACAGCAACGAGGATGGCGTGTGCATCAACAAAATAGCGCTCCATAACGACTTCGTAGAGGATATGGCGTTCTCAACTGTTACATTCTGAGCTGTTACATGAATTTGGGGCGCAAGAATAGAAAAAGTGAACGGGGGGAGGACCTTGCGAGTCTTGCATGACAGATTTGGCACAGATTCTCAGCCTGTTTGGCTCCTCGAGAATTTGTCATGCAAAGCAGCTTGATGGTGTCGATTCTTGAGGTAATTTCGCATGAGAAATCATGTAACAGCTGAGAATGTAACTATTGAGAACGCCATAGAGGAAACTGTGCTCCACTCGGGAGACGTCTGGTTTGACAATCCGGCGCAAAGCAGTACTCAGCCCTACTTTCCGACGCCAAAGCTTTTCTACTTTACCTCGACTACAGTCTGTATGGATGTGTCAGGATCGAAATCTTCGTCACAGTTGAAATAGGTTGTCATGCATATTAAAACCGATACCATTTGTACCAGTCGGAAGCCCAGTTAATATCAAGCAGCGCGTGACAAATTTTCCGACCGCCGGAATCTAATGCGTCACGCTCTTGGGGCACGGAAGCCTGCTTTTGTCATGCTGCTTTACTTAGCAGCTTCATTTCAAACCCTAAACAGGCTCATAATCGGCCTCACTTGCCGTTGCCATCCCGGCAAGACAAGCACTTCCTGCCCGCATTTTATGCATAGCAAGTCATGATTTTAAGTTTGTCGATTTCAGACCTGACGCTTCCATAGTCTGCGGCACGGACAAGTGGCTGACGACCGACGAGTCGAAAAAATGTGCGAGCGGCACCTGCGCGGCTAGTGACAAGAACACCTGCTGCGAAACGCCCGCCTGCACGGAGCCCTCGAATGATGAGAAGAAAGGCTACCGGTTGGTAAAGCCCCTCTCGGGCACCGACAAGCCCCGTAGCCGCGCAGCGCACCGGTCGGGAACCGAGTTCCAGAAGCTTTACAAGCCGGGGGAATTTTACGCGCTGCGCCCGGGGTTCGCGTACGCGTCCGAAACAGTTTGGCACCCCAGGCTGTCGTGCTTTCCAACGCATTCGGCTCAAGTTTCTGATTCGGGGAACTATCCACAATACCAGTGCCCAAGTGGCGGCGGCAGGTTAAGGTTGTTCGGCTGCAAAATGACCTGCGACACCGGGAACTACCCAGACTGTGAGAGACGGGTGAACGAGGATAAAGGCGGTAATGAATTTCGCTGGTATATGGCGTTCTCAGACGTTACATTCTCAACTGTTACATGATTCGGCATGCAGAATTCTCATGAGCATCCACATCATCAAGCTGCTTCATATGACAACTTTCCGAAGGGCTAAACAGCATCTAAATCTGAGCCAAAACTGTAATGCAAGAGGCGCAATCTTTTTCTTTATCTTCCCCCTTGCACTTTTCCCATTCTTGCATGACAAATCCATGCAACAGTTGAGAATGTAACGTAGGGAACGCCATAAACTACGGCAATACGAACTGGCAAAGTGCGCGCCTCGACTGCGCAAATCGCGGCATATGAATCGCAAAAGTATAGTACTCGTATATATAAATGCATGACAAGAAATTCCCTCAGCATGAGAAATGAAATTTGTATATGCGGATTCACCTTAAGAAAAAAATTTGTAGTGCATGATTGCAATTACTACGAGTGCGATACTTTTGCACAGGATACTACGAGTGCACGCACATGGTTCTCAAGCCCTCCGTATCAAATGCAAATATGTCTGGGTCTGGAAGCAGGCTGCAACTTGAACTTCTGATGCTGTCCCCGGTTTCTAAAAAAATCTGTGTTCTTGCACGAAAGGCAAGAGGAGTCGACTTTGTGCTCTCACGCGGAGAGGGCATTTGTCGTGCGGTAAACGCATCAGATAGTAGCCCTCAAAAAGTTTGTGATGCTCGGGCATGCATCATAGACAAGACATCATGGGTCATGCTCATGCAAAAGGTGCATGACAAACCTTGGATTCACATTCATCTTCCAGACTGAGACATACTTGCATTTGATACTCGGACTCGTTTGTTTGGTTGAAGAAGACGGATATCGACGTTGAATCGCCCTGGAACGCCGGGGACCGGGACTTCATGATCATGACCATGCATGGCAAATATGTCTGGGTCTGGAAGGTGGCACCTTGTGATGCGGATTCTGGAATAGGCAAAAATTTGTATTGCATGAGCGCCAATAAAAGTAGATGCCCATTGTATAATTTTTTCTTACTACGCAGAGAGATAGGGAATTTCTCATGCGGGAAAGGCATCAAAAGGCCTGCGCAAAACCTGTGATGCTTTTGCGTGCATTAGAGACCATTTGCATCATGATCTAAAAGATGCATGACAAAACACACACGCATTCTACTTCCAAAGCCAGACATGTTTGCATTTGATCATGACCCCAACGTGTCGAAAGCAGCTGTTGATGCAAACGGATGACGGCCTGTGTGGGTGGGACTGGCCGACTAAGGACATGTCCAAGGTTATCCTGGGTAAAAACGTCCCCACCCCAGAGTTGTCATGCAGATTTGCAATGACAGGAACATTTGTGACGCGCATCCCCATGATAGGCATTTCCAACCGTTTAGAGGAATTTGTGATGCTGGAAACAGCATAAGCAGATGGATTTATAATGCGGCTATCCTTGCCAACCTGCACTACACTACGGACTGGAACTTGTCATGCGTGACTCCCAAAACTTCTAGGTTTGTGTTGCAGAGTCCTCATCTTGACTCTGGGGTGGGGACGTTTTTACTCAGGATAAAGGTCTGCGCCGGCAACCAGTGCGTGGAGGACGTGGACAGGACCACGTGCTGTTTGAAGAAGTGCAAAGCGCTGAGCGCGGGTGCAAAAAAAGGCTACAAGGTGAGCTCTGACGGTCTATGAATTGCAAAACAAGTAGCGTACTAGTATAAATTGCATATAGAAATAATGGGCTCAGCATGACAAATGGAATTCGAATTTGTCATGCGGATTTACCTTACGAAAAAAATGCATCCTTGCGATTACTACGAGTACGATACTTCTGCACAGTTGTATACGGTCGCAGCGGGGACGATTGGAACCAGTTGCGGTGTCGTGGTTGGTATGGATTGCAAATATGTCTGGGTCTGGAAAAATGGAACTGGTGATGCGTCCTGTGGATCACACAAAAATCTGTCTTGCGCAATCACCAAAAGTCGCCCTTGTCTGACCACCATGCGAGGGAGATTCTCATGCACGAAGGGCATGATAGAGACCTCGCAGAATCTGCCATGCTAGGTCCTGCATTCCAGACCTTATGGGGCATCGAAATTCTGCACGACAAATCTCGGAATCTCCCAGACCCAGACACTTTTGCATTTGATAGTTGGGTTAACGGTAAGAACACAGCTGCCCGGCCCGACGAGAACTGGAAGAACGTCAACAACGTACTTAGTTGCGAGACCACGCACGTTATCAAATGCAAAAATGTTGTCTGGGTCTGGAAGAATGCAAGTTTGTCATGCTTGTCTGGCATGACTCGAGAATCTGTGTTGCATAGGCACGAAAAAGCCCTCTTACCTGTCATGCAAAAACGCCGTTTGCCTTTGCCATGCGGAATACGTAAGACATGGCAGCCAAAAAATTTGCCATGCATAGCTGCGTATTGCAGTGCGTCTATCATTCGTTTTTAGCATTACAAGTTTCCAGACCCAGACACTTTTGCACTTGATACACGTTGCACAGTCCCCGCAATACATGTGCCCAGGCGCTGACCAAAACATGCAGCTGCGAGGATGCCACGAGAAGTGCAGCCAAATCAACATCAGTACGGTGTGTGGACATGCCAGCAACTACGTGAAGGCCACCACAGGGACAACCTACTGTGCCGGAAACAGCTGCACCAAAGCAAGTGATAAAAACACGTGCTGCGTGAAAAAATGCAGCGCTGCGTCCGCCTGTCCGAGCAGCACGCACGTCGCGAAAGGCGGTAATCCGGTGTGCGTGTCCAAGGGCGATGCTTGCAACCCCGGGGCCATCGCGGATGACCAGAAGGTGTGCTGCGAGGAAAAGGCGAAGTGCAGCGATCTCATATCCGTAGTAAATTTCCTGTACACGACGTACAGATGCTGGCTCTGCATGACAAAACTTGTCTCCAATCTTACTCAGCATGACAAATTGGACACTCCAAGTTAGCGAGATTTGTCATGCATTTTGTGCGTGTACGGGAAATTTGTATTGCATATCTCACCTGCCCCAATTACTACGCGAAATATCCTGAGTAAAATCGTCCCCACACCAGAGTTAAGATGCAAAATGTGCTACACAAATCAACCAGCTTCGGCTGTTTCGCATGACAAATCTCGAATATCGTGCTGCTTCTAGCATCACAAATTCCCCAACGCGAAGATTAGAGAATGCTTCTCGTGGAGCCCCGCATGAGAAACTTTTCTGGCATGCAGATTTGCATGACAACTCTGGGGAGGGGACGTTTTTACTCAGAATACGAAAAAAAGCGGAGTCGCTAACGTGCGCTGCGCGGGAACAACCTGCTCTGTCAGTGCGGACCGGGACCGGTGTTGCGAACAATCAGCATTTTATCAAAGAAAAAAAGTTCGTCACGATCACTGATGCGCATTTTTGCAATACAAATGTGTTTGTCATGCGTAAAAATGCATCACAGCCGAACTTCATTGGGGATTTCCCTAGTGTTTCTGCAATACAAGGAAAATTTGTGATGCTAAGAAAATTTGTAATGCAAAACCTGCAAGTTAGTGACTGTGACAAACTTTTTTCTCTCCATACATTTTGCTCGACGCTGACATGTAACAATGGGTACACACTGAAAAGCAACGCAGGCTCAACGCGCTGTAAGTCGACCCCCTGCAGTATGAGAGTGTTGCACGACAAGAACTCCCCCGCGTTCCCCTGATTTGAAGAAGGGCATGATGATGAGGAGCAATAGAAACCACAGGGCACATGGATCCGACGCATGCGCATGACAACTTCGTGCGGCAATTGCAGTACAGTTCGGGCTTCGAAAAAATTTGTCATGCAGACACTGCCACAGCCACAGTGCTGTAACTGGATTATAGGATTTTGCATGACAAAGACAAACGAGGGGGGAGGTGATGTTGTGCAATCTCATATGCTCCGAGGCCGACGACCATAGCGCTTGCTGCGATGGAAGAGCCTACTGCTCCACCTACCAGTGCAACCCAAGCGCGAGCACCGTGCTGAAAGACAACGCAAGCAGCATCCAGTATGGGAGTGTCAGGACTGAAATCGACAAAATCGAAATATTTTCGATGCACAAAATCGATGTCAGTTGGAGCCTCAGTTTCCAAGTGGCGCATGACAAATTTCGGGAGCACCCAAATCCGGTCTGTCGTGCTGTTTGGGCAAAGAAGATCGCTCCTGTTATGCTACTCGGGCAGCACATTGCATACCCCTAAACAGGCTTGCGATCGGTCTCATTTGCCTGCTCCCCAATACAGGCCTTCAGTGCCTTGCATTTATATGCATCACAAACTTTTCGATTTTGGCGATTTCGATCCTGACACATCCATATCCAGTGCGCGGGCGCGAGTTGTTCAGGTTCCGTAGACCAAAACACGTGCTGCGATGCCAAGCAAGCATGCAGCGGATTCAGTTGGTGCGGGGATCTCGGGTACTACGTGAAGAGAACCGACCACGCCTCGAGGTACTGCGCAAAGAAAGCCTGCACGACCAACAACGACAAAGATACGTGCTGCATTCTAGGTTGCACACCTCCCTCGGATAGCTACGGGTACGAACTGACATCCCCGTTCTCCTGGGATGATTTGGTAAAGCGCGGCGACAAAGTATCAAAATGAAAAAATCCCTCTCCCCATATCAAAACGAAACTTTTGACGCTGGCTTTGTGTACACAAATCAGATTTGTCTTGCAGTATCATGCCAATGTAGAGAGGTTTTGGCCTAGGCACTTAGCATGGGGAACGTCTATGCTGTAGGACCAACAGCATTGCAAACCGCCTGCATAATGGGGCGGAGCCCATGTTGCAAGACAGACGCGCTTTCTTGCAAGACAGACGCGATTTGTGGTCACAAATAAGCACCATCGCGAAGTCTCTTAGGGGTTCCTTTTCGATATGGGGAGGGGGGATTTTTCATTTTGATACTTCGCGTACCCCGGCGTGGAGTCTTCGTCCGGCCATCCCGCGTGGAGTAACTGGCCTTCGAATATAAACTGCGACAGTACTATGGTTGTGTCAGAATCGAAATCGACAAAATCGAAAAACTTGTGATGCATGAAATGTAGGGCACTGGAGGCCTGTATTGGTGAGCAGGCAAATGAGACCGATTGTAAGCCTGTTGAGGGGTATGCAATGTGCTGCCAGAGTAGCATGACAGCAGCAGTATCCTTTGCCCAAACAGCATGACAGACTGGATTTGAGTGCTCCCGACATTTGTCATGCGCCACTTACAAACTGAGGCGTCAACTGGTATCGATTTTATGCATCACAAATTTTTCGATTTTGTCAATTTCGATCCTGACACCCCCATAGCAACCACGCACCTCCCCGCCGACGGCACCACCTCCGCGCAATTTTGGTGCAGTGGGGTGAATGAGCCTTTGAGCCTGCGGAACTGCCGGGAAAAGTGCTCGGTGGGCGTGGACTGTTATCTCGGAACGAAGCCGAGTGGCGCAACGAGTAGTGCCTTTGCGAGCAAGCGCTACCATCAAATCTCCCAGTCGGGAACCAAAAAATGTGACTCTGAACGCTGCACCATGGACGACGTGCCCGGTCGGTGTTGCGTGCAGGGTATGCTCTGGTGCAAAAGTTGTATCGTACGAGCATGTAATCATTTATGACTGACCACTCTGACAGATTTTTTTTCCTAGCGATCATCAAACCAGCATTTTCACTTTCCTCCTTATAATTCGATTTACTCTAGTATACGGTGGATAAGGACTTTTGCAATGCATAGAGAGTTGCACCGAGCCGTCTACCGTCGACTACGAACTGGCCAAGTACACGGCCACGCTATCCTAGTTACAAACGAGCACACCCCAGAGTTGTAATGCGAATCTGCATGCCTAAACTGTTTCTCATGCGCATCCCGATAAGAAGCAATTTGTATGCAGTAGTGTTTTGGCATTTGGTATGCTAGAAGCCCAAACCTGTCATGCGAACATGCTAAAGTTTCTGCATTTGTGTTGCAAAATGCCCATCTTGGCCCTGCAGTGGGGACGTTCTCACTCTTGATACACGCCGAATTGGAACGCGGTGTTGCAAGACCAGGCGCTTTACCCGAAACAAACGGCCGACTACAAAACGAGCGGCCAAATGACGAACACCGGCGTTGCGTCGGGAATTACGGTAAGTTTTGCCTGCAACGAAAATGACTACGAACCGAATCTCGATCACGATCTGGCCTTTTGGTGTCCGGGGTCCAACCAACCTCTTTCTGTAGACAGCACGAGTGACTGCGTGCCCAAGTGTGTCTGCGACAACGGTAGTAAGGACGAGACAAACGTGGAGACCTGTCCCGCCCCAGGAGCACAGAATTGCAAAACTTGCAGTCGAATCAAATGTAAAAGTGTCTGGGTCCTCTGGAAGAGCGCATGTTTGTCATGCTTGTCCGGCATGACTCTCAAGTCTGTCATGCACGTTACCCAAGAGCGCCACTTTTCTGTCATGCAGAAACGCAGTTTGTCACTCAGAATAGGCAACACCTAGAAGCTCAGAAACTTGTCATGCTGAGCCAGCACTTGTGGCCTCCTCATGATACGCCGCCCAGCATCACAAGTTTCCAGACCCAGACACTTTTGCATTTGATAAGTCGAAGTACGATCGACGCGGTGCGCGAAGTGCCGCCACACGACACCGTGCGGGCGTTTCAGTGGATCGCGGGGGATAAGGGTTGGTACGTCAATCGGCCCTGTTGGGCCAATATGAACTGCAAAAGTATCGTACTCGTATAGGTGCATCACAAATTTCCTCAGCGTGAGAAATAAAATTTGTAGTGCTGATTTACATTAAGAAAAAGATTTGTAATGCATGATTGCAATACGAGTACGATACTTTTGCACAGGATAGCCAAGTGTTCGAATGTCGATTGTCATGTACGCATTGCAAATATGTCTGGGTGTGGAACCCCCCTGCAGCGTTTGTCATGCAGGTCTAGCATGACGCAGACGGCCTGAAATGCGAGCTGCAGCATCACAACTTGTTGTCATGCGGCTGTCTAATACCAATCCCAATACTGCATGAGATGAAATTCCGCCTTCGCGTGGCCAAAAGTGGGTGCGTCATGCTGTGCCCGCAATACAGAGGTTCGCGTCTACTTCCAGACCTAGTATCACAAACTCGTTTTCTTCCAGACCCGGACATGACATTTGCAGATGCATATCATGCGACACACAACATTAACAACCCAAGTGGCCCGTGGTACTTTACCCGACTACAGGATGGCGACGACATCAAAACGGCGTACACTTCGAGTGATTTTGTTCCCTTATCCTGTGCAAAAGTATCGTACTCGTAGTAATTGCAAGCATGCAATACAAATCTCTCTCTTAAGGCGAATTAGCATTACAAATTTCAACATTTTTCATGCTGAGGAAATTTGTAATGCATTTATACGAGTAAGTACGATACTTTTGCAATGCATATCCCTGGTGTAACGGCAAGCAAGACTCCGAAACCAACTGCCTTCAGTACGGCGTTCTCAACTGTTACGCTCTCAGCTGTTACATGAATTTGTGATGCGAGAATGGCAAAAGTGAAAGGGGGGAGCCTGCGCGTCTTGCATGACAGATTTGGTACAGATTTAGACGCTGTTTAGCACTCCGAGAATTTGTCATGCGAAGCAGGAGGTTGGTCGTCTGGTGGCTCATGATGGTCATTTTGCATGACAAATCATGTATACAATTGAGAATGTAACAGTTGAGAACGCCATATTCAGCACGGAAACTGCTGCCAGCAGGGTTGCAAAGCGCCGAGTGAAATTTCGGGATACGATATCAGCAACTGGCAGAACGCTTGCGAAACGAAAAAGCCTTCTACTCCGGCGCATATTTTCAGCAGAATAGAAATAAAGCAGTGCGCCTTGTTGCATACCAGATTTTTTTTTCGTGTCATGGTGCAACGTTAAGCCTACAGCTATTGCTGGCGCGCCTTCGGCGCCTTTTATCTCAGTTATTAGCCTGATGGCTGCAGTAAAGATCTGTGTAGAAATAGATGCTGGAGGAAAGAGCAGGCTTCGAATTTCATACTTGTATTCTGGAAGAAGCGCTCTACCCATTCGAATCGCACCGTATTTTTTACGGGGGAGGAAAATTTTTCTATACGATGCTTGATGATTTCTGCTGCACCGTTGCATCAGCCCATGATTCCTAGCTAGAGTCGTGGTTGTCGTCTGTAGATAGAAGCGAAATTGTGACCCTAGTAGTTCCATGACCATATTTTTGTTTATCATTATATGGCATCACGCAATTAATTGATAGTAGCTGGGTCGTGAGAGCATCAATGCAGTAATTTAGAATAATCAAAATCTGATGATGAATACACAAAACACACAAAATCAAAAATTCAGATGTATTCGCAGCTGGAAAGCCGTGCATTCTCGAGGAGGATAAGGACATGGCTCATTATGACATGATTATGGTGAGCAACATCGAGAGCGATGTTCATACTTTGTTACGCCCCCACTTTCCAGCGGGGGTCGCGGACGGAACGAAATCGGGGGCCACGGTGGTGAGGCCGGTTGCCGGGCTGCTTTATTATTCCGGAAAAATATAACTTCCTGCATTGCGGCCGCGCGGCCAGACCCGACGAAGATACGGCGGAGAGGGCATGTCCCCGCACTCCGCCACTCGCCCCCGCACGGGTCGGGGCCACGCCGGGGAAGCACAGCCGGCCGGCGCGGCGTGCACCCTGGGGCCCCAACTCGAAGCCGGCCCGGAGCCGGCAGAAGTCTCGCCGGGGCCGGGCGGGCCTTCCGTCTTTCGGGGCCGGCCCCGGCCCGCCGATGGAGGGACAGAAGCAAAACCCGCCCTCCCAAGGGGGACGGCCATTCCATTCCTTCCGGGGGGGGAAAAAGGGGCCCGAACTGGCCTAGGCCTGCCAGATATTTCCCTTTTTGGCCTTCGCCCGATGCTACGGGGGGGCCCAAAATGTTTTAAAACCGGTTCCATTTTCCCCCCGAAAGGGGGCCGAATTGGGCTAATTCGGGCCCCCTCGCAAAGCCTTTACCTGAGAGGGGGCAGCCGCCCGGCCGGGGCTAAAGCAGGCCGGCCCCATTCATTCTAGGGTGGGGCGCGCGCCCCACTGCTTCGAAGGCCGGCCCGTCCTTTTGGGTGGAATGGTGGGAGGGCAAATGCGTTGTCGGCCAAAAACATGGTGGCCCGCGCCCGCCAGTCGGACCGCCCCGACTGATAGCAAGCCGCCAGCCCTTGGGGAACGAACGAAGCTGCTCTGCGGGGCGGCGGGCGCCTCGCCCTTTGGGCGAGGGTGGGAGCTTCGGGGCCGGGAAGCTGCCCCGACTCTCTTTGACAAGTCACAACGCGTGAGTTGTTTTATGGCGCAGCGAGGCCACCGGGCCGGGTGTAAGTATTGTCAGGCCTCCCGGCAGCCCCCGAGGCGAAACGAAAGCGACCCGCCGCCGCAGCGGGGGCGCGAAAAACAAAGCATGCACTTCGTCCAATTTTCTGGTCTAACATAATGACGGTGGGCAACATCGAGAGCGAAGTAGCATGCGCCGCACTGTGTGCGCAAGAGCCGCTGTGTAAGGCGGTGGCCTGGGCAAAAGAAGAAGGTTCGGCTTCGGACGGTACCACGCATGGTTCGAACGAGTGCTTTCTCAAGGACGGGACAGAGCCCCTTCACGACTACAGCCGCACGAATGTGGTTGTAATGACCGACGAGTTATCCTGTGCAAAAGTATCGTACTCGTATAAATGCATTACAAATTTGCTCAGCGTGAGAAATAAAATTTGTAATGCAGATTTGCCTTGGAAACAAGATTTGTAATGCAAGACTTGCATTTGTACGAGTGCGATACTTTTGCACAGGATACGAGTGTAGGAATTGGCTAAAGGCCGCGTTTCATTCGGGGGTCGGGGCCAATGGATACAAATGCGTATTGAGAGGAAAAATCCCCGCCCCTCCCCATATCGAAACGAAGTTTCTGATGCTGGATTTGCGTACACAAATCAGAGTTGTCTTGTAGAAAGTGCTTGGCGGCATTTTCTGAGCCTGTTTGGGTATGCAGAAGGCTAGCAACTGCGCATGGCAAACAGGTTTGCGATAGTCGAAAGCGCATGACAGACTTGCTCTGGAATGCGTCAAATGGTTCCTATGACCCTATATGCAAGACAAAGATGATTTGTGGCCACAAATCAGCATCACAAATTTCCGTTTTGATATGGGGAGGGGGGATTCTTCATTTTAATAATGCGAGCAGGGTTACCACTCCTGGCTCAACGTTATAACAGTGCACAACCCCTCTTGTTCCCCTCATTTGTATAGCATGAGCGGCAGTACAAGCATCAGCAAGAGTGCCAGTTTTGCATGACCAATTCGCACTGGATTATAGTGCTATAATTTGGGCTACCAGAACTTGTTATGCAAACAGTGCCAAGAGGCAAAGGGCGGATTGGGTATTTGGCATGACAAACGTACCAAGTGGGAAAACACGGGAAAGGGGAAAAATTCAAAATTTTTGTATGTTGCAAAGGCAGCTCCTCTCTGAAGTCTAGTGGTGCAGGGATGGCCGGGCCCACCGGCCCGATGGCCCGGCGCGATCTCCTTGCGGCGGCGCTTCTGTCTGTTGAGTTCCAGCAAAGCGCAGCCATCCACTCTCCGCAAGATCGGCACACCGTCGCCAATATTTTTGCGCTCCTAACTATTTTTGCTCGCCGCGTTCGTGCCGGAAGTCGGGCGCCCGCTTTTCTGTCGAACATGAACCCGCCCGAGGCAACGGCGGCAAAATGGCTGAAAGATCCCAAAGACCTGGCCGTCGCGTTTTTTTTCTTTTCCGAATTAGCGCAAAGGGCCCGGGGGAGGGTGGGCCCTATTTGAGCCGGACCGGGGCCGCCCGACTTCGGCTGCTGGCGATCGCGGTGGACGGCCCCACGAGCTTGCAGCCCTGTGGCCGGCCTGTATAATTTGTATGTCCGAGAAGGGACACACTTTTTTGCGCTCAATTCCGGCGCAACAGCATCGTGCCTGGCTTCTTCCAATGGACCTCTTTTGTTATAGCGCAAATCCACAGGAATGGACAGGGGGTGGGGTCTGGGAGAGGGGCCAAAGCCTGGAAGTAGCGGTGGCTCGAAATGGGCCAAAAATCAAGGCACACAGGTGCGGTTACAAATCCACAGGAATGGGCGGGGGGGTACCCTTGGGGCCACCCCCCCTCGGCACGGGCCATCAAAAAGACCCCAAAAGCGAGGCCTTTTTTTGGCCGAAAACCGGGGCACATACATAGGTCGGGTTACAAATCCACAGGAATGCCCAGAAATGGAGGCAGCCCCGGACGCGACAGCGGCGCGGCCAATTTTGGCCGAAAACCGGGGCAGATAGGACGGATTTCAAATCCACAGGAACGGGCCCAAAAGTGGCCCGAAGCCGCACGCCGTAGACTAGAAGGCAAAAACTGCCTTGGCCCCGACTGCAATTTTTGGCCACCCCAAGCGGTAGCGCCCGGGCCAGGTTTTGCTCGTGTTGGGCATGGCCTGGGGCTTCGGAAAATGGCGCCGGCCCCCTGGCCCGAAGCCCGGCGCCGCCTGGGGCCCGGCAATGATTTTAAAACGAAGCGCGGGCCTTTTGTTTCAAATTGTAGACAGGCCAGGGGGCAGGCGTTCTACGTAGTATGTCTTTTGATACGTTGTAAGCGGTTTTTTGGCGTTTGCGATTCCGCCGCAAATCACCAAGGCCATGCGCATGCGTGTGGTTCTCACCTCTCTCAAAAATGAGGCATTGCAAAATTTTGAATTTTCCCCCTTTCCTGTGTTTTTCCCTTTGGTAAAACGAGGTGGAGGGGGGGGTTGTGCACTCTCATAAACGCCGGCGCCTATCCGGCGAACCACCAGACCTCAGACCAGAGCCTTCTCGATGCGGGCACCCCGGATTTGATTTGTCCCGGGCCCGGGGAACACGCTATAGCTTACGGGTGCATCCCCACCTGCAAGTGCACAGCGGACCAAGCCACCATCGTGAGTCAGGATACGACACTGGGCATCGCGAATCATTTATCCTAAGGAAAAACGTCCCCACCCGATAGTCAAGTTGGTAAATCTGCAATACAAATCTCCAAGTTTTGGGAGTTGTGCATGACAAGCTTCCGTCTGTAGTGTAGTTCTGTTTAGAAAGGACAGCCACATCACAAAGACGCCTGCTTCTCCTGTTTTCTGCATTACAAATCGAAATCTCAGAACACGGCTACAAATTCCTCTTATGCGGATGCGCATTGCAAATGTTTCTCTTGATGCAAATCTGCATGACAGACAACTATGGGGTGGGGACGTTTTTAAATAGGATATCATTATCCGGGCGTGGGGTTTGGACTTGGATTTCGCCAAACTTTCAAGGACGCGGTTCCGAGTGGGGAGAAAATCAATCCGATTTGTCCGGTATCAACTACAAAAATGTCTGGGTCTGGAAGGATGCGAATTTGTGATGCGCATGTCACAACACACATAAATCTCTCATGCATAGGCAGCAAAAGGTGCCCATCCCCATCTCCTGTCACCAAAAACGGAGGATTTGTCATGCGGATTGGGCATTGCGGAAGGTTCTCAAAATCTGTGATGCTAGGCCATCCATGACAGACCTTCTGTGTCGTGCGGAAACAGCAAAACATTCTTCCCGACCCAGACATATTTGCAGTTGATATCCGGGTCCGGGCAAGCAGTATTGCGCCGTGTGCAGCGACGTGACGAAGTACGAGCTACGTCCTATGGAAGCGTCAGGACCGAAATCAACACAATCGAAATACTTCGTGATGCATAAAATCGATACCAGTTGTGTTGAACAAGCCTCAGTTTATTCCAAGTGGCGCATGACAAATTTCGGGAGCACCAAAATCCAGTCTGTCATGCTGTTTGGGCAAAGAAGACTGCTCCTGTCGTGCTACTCTGGCAAGAAATCGTCTTCCTCTAAACAGGCCTGCAATGGGTCTCATTTATTTCCTGCTCCTAACAGAGGCTACTCGTGGCCTACATTTTACGCATTACAAGTTTTGCGATTTTGTCGATTTCGGTCCTGGAACTCCCATACGTCCCTGGGTTTCGGCAACGGACCCGCAAGAGGTCGGAAACCCGACGACGGCAGGCGGGAGCACGGGTGAGCAGCGGTGCTTATGCATTGCAAATATGTCTGGGTCTGTAAACTTGTAATGCTGAGTTGTGAATAGTGAGCTCTCTGTAATGCGCAGCCAAGCATGAGAAATATTTGCGCGGCTTAGTGTTGCGCTTTCCACATGACGAACACTGCGTTTTGCATGACAAGCAAAAGGGTCTCTATCTTTTCTTGGACACGCGTCACAAACTCTCCAGTCATGCCAGACAAGCATGACAAACCTTGCATCCTTCCAGACCCAGACATATTTGCATTTGATAGTGCTGGTCCAAATGCGACTCCATCGGGTGCCATCGGAGGGACACGACTGCTGAGGGCGCATATTTCTACTTATCCTGAGTAAAAACGTACCCACACCAGAGTCAGGATGAGGATTTTGCAACACAAACCTAGGAGTTTTGTGAGTCACGCATGACAAGTTGCGCTCNTTATCCTGAGTAAAAACGTACCCACACCAGAGTCAGGATGAGGATTTTGCAACACAAACCTAGGAGTTTTGTGAGTCACGCATGACAAGTTGCGCTCTGCAGTGTAGTGCAGGTTAGCAAGTGCAGCCGCATCACAGATTCATCTGCTCATCCTGTTCACAGCATCACAAATTCCAAAACACGATTGGAAATGGCTCTCATGGGGATGCGCATGCGCATTACAAGTCTTCCTGTCTTTGCAAATCTGCATTACAACTCTGGTGTGGGTACGTTTTTACTCAGGATACTACTCCACCTATCCCTACACAGAGCACGTGTATTGCAGCGAGCAAGCATATAACGAGGACAATTGCTACGACAGTTGCTGTATCAACTGCAAAAACGTCTGGGTTTGGAAGGATGCGAACTTGTTATGCATGTTGCGGATCATACAAAAATCTGTGCTGCATGACCTGCAAAAGGTCCCCACTTCTGGCCATGCTGAGAGGGCATTTTTCATGTAGAATAGGCATCACCAAGGGGCTGCAGAACCTGTGATGCTAGGCGCTGCATTCCAAACTTGGTGGAGCTTGGAAAAACTGCATGACAAAGCTCGGAATCTTCCAGACCCAGACATATTTGCATTTGATATGCTGCATTGCCGGCTGTTACCGGCCCGGGTTGGGGGGCGACGATGGGCTGGATTTGGACGCGAATAACATGCCGACCAACCGGTGGCTGGAGAACGACGGGGTGGGCTACCGCCCAAGACCCAGCAAAGCGTGGCACAACATTCTGCGAGAGAGCGGCTCGCCCCGGACTACGAACCAGCAACCATCGACCTATCCCGGGTTCACACAGCATGACAATATGCCCGACAAAGACGGGTGGGTCCCCGACTCTGACCTTATCTGCGCCGAGGGGTACAAGGAAAAAGTGGCCGGGCAAGCTATAACCCGCTCAGGTGTTACAATCTCAAACGTTACAATAGAATCTGGAATTTGTGTTGCAAGAAGTGCACGATCTACCCTACTCCCACAGGATTGCGCATGACAAGTTCCAGAGCCCCAAACCCCACTACAATCTGTCGAACTTTGTATTGCAGAAAGTGGAACGCCCTGCAAGTCTGTCATGCTCATCAGGCAAGACAAATCTGATCTCAGATTCTATTGTAACGCTTGAGATTGTAACACCTGAGCGGGTTATACAAGCTCCCCAGCTGCTCTGCTCCGGGTCCAACCAGAAGGTCCAACTGCGGGGCTGCGTATCAAATGCAAATATGTCTGGGTCTGGAAAAGTGTGAAGCTGTTTGTGCATGACACAGAAGGTCTAGCATGCAAGTCCTAGCAACACAGGTTTTGAGCAGGTTAGGCGATGCCTAACCCGCATGACAAATTCCCTCTTTTGGTGGCAAGAAGTGAGCAACTTTTGCGGTCCATGCGTGACAGATTTTTTTCTGGTCTCAAATACGCATCAGAAGTTCACATGTTTCCAGACCCAGACACTTTTGCATTTGATACTGCGAGCCGGTGTGCTACTGCACGCTGCGGACCGACGCGTCGCATCTGACATCTTCCAATACCAACACGTATCAATTGCAAGTATAATGTCTGGGTCTGGAAGATTCTTAGGCTTGTCATGCGCGTTTTGCGCGAGCTATGATGCCGGTGATGCATGCCCTAGCATCACAGTTTTTTTGAGGGCTTCTTGATCTTGATGCCTACTACGCATGACAAAGGCCCTCTCCGCGTACCAAAAATCACATTTCCTTTGCTGCTCATGCAATACAGATTGTTTTGGAATCGAAATGCAGCATCACAAGTTGCATTCTTTCAGACCCACACATTTTTGCAGCTGATAACACGGTCCTCGGAGACGTGGATCAAGATTTGTGCAACGAAATGGGGAAACCCTATCAGCAGGCCTGTCTTAACTGCAACGCAGCGGGCGCCGGGGGCAACTACCGGTTGGCTGACCTCAACCCAAACGGGGCGGACAAGCAGAAAGTGTGTTGGGCGAGTTGCGACGCGACACACTTCCTCACTGTCAACGGGTGTGACCGGCACGATGCTCCTGCCAATGGGCACGATCCCATCGCGAACTTCGGCCCCTGGTACCAACCCCTGCGCGCGCCGAACCTGCCGGCGCAGCATTTGTGCGGCTACGGGCCCCTGAATGCGATGCAGCAACAAAATAATGCGGTGGTGCAACAGCTGTACACCGAGGAAAACTGCAAACGTTCGTGCTGCGTGAAGGGGTGCCGGCCCCCGGAGAAACTCGCAGCCGTTACCTGCGCCGCGTCCGGTATGCATTGCAAATATGTCTGGGTCTGGAAGAGTGTGACTTGTCATGCTACATCTGGATCGTGAAAAAATTTGCGTTGCATAATTACCAAACGAGGTGCACTTTTGAACAAGTTTCGAGGCAGTTTCTCATGCAGGAAAGGCATGAAGATAGAGATCTCACAGAACCTGTCATGCTAGGCCGTGGATGCCAGACCGCGCGGGTCATGGAAAAACCTGCATGATCACTTTGTCCAAACTTATTCTACCTAGAGTTTGTCGAGTAAGTGGCTACCGTTTTAAGATTTAGAGAACGACAGGGACGCCCAGCCCTTAGCTTCCCAACATGACAAACCTACCAATCTTCCAGACCCAGACATTCTTGCATTTGATATCCGGCCTAACGGTACAATCCTCGTTTCCCTACGACATCCACTGGGAAAATATCAAAAGGAAAAATCCGCCCTCCCCATATCAAAAGGGAGTGTCTGATGCAGGATTTGCGTACACAGATCAGGCCTGTCTTGCAGTAGAGGACTGCAGGCCCATACTAAGCCTAAGTAGAAGGGTTTTGACGTAGGCGCGTAGCACGGCAAAGGTTTACTCTGTAGGCTCCATAGCATCACAAGCCGCCTGCATAATGCGGCGGAGTCTCTGGGTTGGCCTTCTTGCAATACAGAGACGACGCGTGGTCACAAATCAGCATCGCAAATTTTCAGAAGTGTCCGGTTTTGCTATGGGGAGTTTTCCTCACGATAGAAAACGCACTGAAAAGCGTACACCTGTACCCAGATGATACTGCGGGTTTTGCCGCTGAGCCGGGGACGCTCGGCGCCGCAGATAAGTGGTACGACCCCCCTGGGAGCGACGGAAATTTGGGTTGCGCCCCCGGCTTTCACGGCAAAGCGGTATGGATTGTAAAAGTGTCTGGGTCTGGAAGAATGCAGGAGTTTGTCATGCAGATTTTGCATAACCCATGAGGTCTGTGATGCATGCCCCAGCATCACAGATTTTGCGAGGGCTTTCTGATGCTCATACCGCATGAGAAATGCCCTCTCCGCGTGGCACAAATTACACCTCTTTTGCTGTTCATGCAATACAGATTTTATGTAGAGTCCAAAGGTAGCATCACAAGTGGCATCCTTCCAGACCCAGACATTTTTGCACTTGATAAGCAGAGCTGTGGTGCAAAGACGAGGGCGAGCCGGTGGAGGTCCGGGTATGCATTGCAAAAGTATCGTACTAGTAGAAATCGCATGACAAACTCCCTCAGCGTGAAAGATGGCATTTGTAATGCTGTTTTAGCTCAGGAAGGCGATCTGTCATGCACAATTGCGATTACTACGAGTACGATACTTTTGCAATGCATACCGGGGCTGCATCGACAACTGCCACCGGATATCAAATGCAAAAATGTCTGGGTCTGGAAGGATCCGAACTTGTGATGCGCATTTTCGAACACAGAAAAATCTCTCATGCATAGGTAGCAAAAGCTGCTCAATTCTGTCACCAAAATGGGCGATTTCTCATGCGGGTTCGGCATTGCGGAGGCTTCTCGAAACCTGTGATGCTAGAGCTTCCATGCCAGACCTTCTGCGTCATGCAAAAACAGCATGACTCTTCCAGACCCAGACATTTTTACATTTGATACAGGAGCATCGCAAACGATTTGAGTGACGAGGAATTCCATTGTGGCTTAAAAGGCTACGGCGTTGTCCGGTACGCGAGCGAAAGGTCTCCTATTACCAGAACCTACCCGTCCACGGAAACTGGGGCGAGTCATGCCGAGCCTTTTCGCGAACTACCGCCCGAGAACTGCTGCCGGCGGGAGGGCCCGGACAGCCAGCACCCGCTGCGGTGTGGCGGCGTATCCAATGCAAATATGTTGTCTGGGTCCGGAAACTTGTGATGCTGAAGTGTGGATGATTGAAATCCTTCCCAATGCAGCCAAGCATGACAAGGTATTCGCGGAACACCTTCTCGTCATGCGCAGCCCGGATGAGAAACTGTGCTTTTGGATGACATAAGGGGGCATCGGCGTCTTTTTGTTGATCACGCAATACAGATAGTTACAGGATTGTAGGACTAGCATTACAAGTCCCATGATCTTTCCAGTTCCAGACATGCTTGCAATGCATACGGCGTGTTTTTGTACGACGCCATCGACGCCTCTGGCTTGACCGACGTTTTCACCGAGCAGTCCGTATTGAGAGGCAAAATCCCCCCTCCCCATATTGAAAAGGTATGTTTCCAAAAATTTGTGTTGCGGATTTGAGGTCACAAATCACATCTGTCTTGCAAGAAGACAAGGGCAGAAGCTTCCGCCCCATTATGGAAGCGATTTGTCATGCTGTTGGGCCTAAAGGGGAGTCGTTTGCCATGCTGAGCAGCTAGACACATGCGCCTCTACCTAGCCTGGGGATCTGGCCGCAATGCCTCTCTGCAATACAAAGCTGATTTGTGGCCCCAAATCAGCATCACAAATTTCCGTTTTGATATGGGGTGGGGGGATTTTTCATTTTGATAGTCCGGCGCCGCCATTTTGGGATTTTCCGGGGACGGCCACACCATCCCCGTGAACGGGAATGTGAATGACGTTCCTCACGGGGACTTCTTCAAGTCCCATTTATACCCAAGCAATCCCCCTGGCTGGACGCGCGCGACGCTGTATTGCCGGTCAAAGGGGTTCGGGCAGCCGATCGAAGACTTGACACACGTCGTGCGTCTGCCGGAAAGCGGCGAAGACCTGGCACCGTACCCGGAAATATCCTGATGAAAAACGTCCCCACACCAGAGTCAAGATGGGAAACCTGCTAGACAATTCAACCAGCTTTGGTTGTTTGGCATGACAAGCTTGTCCTCGTAGCAAAGTCCTGTTTAGCTAGTTCAGAAGCATCACAGATCTAGCACAGCATGCTGGTTCGAGCATGACAAATTCCAAAACACGGACAGACAATGCTTCTCATAGGGCTCAGCATGAGAAACTTGTTTGGCATGCAGAAATGCGTGACAACTATGGGGTGGGGACGTTTTTGCTCAGGATAGAAAACGGGGTTCCACGAGGGCTCCAAGGAGTGCTATCAAAAGGAAAAATCCCCCCTCCCCATATCAAAAGGAAACGTCTGATGCTGCATTTGCGTACACAGATGAGGTCTGTCTTGCTGTGAGGAATTGCGGCCAGATTCTTATAGGTGTTTAAGAGCGCAAGAGTCTAGCTGTTTAGCATTGGAAACGCCTGCCCTGTTGGCCACCCAGCATGAAAAATAGCATCCATAATGCGGCGCATCCCTCAGCGCTTGCCTTTTTGCAAGACAAAAATGATTTGTGGCCACAAATCTGCATCACAAATTTTCCGACGGATGCTTTTTCAATATGGGGAGGGGGGATTTTTCCTCACAATAAGTGCTGCGAGATCCCCACCTGCGCCATCGGGTTTTTCGCCTGGCCGAAAGAGTTTCAGTGTCGGGCGCGCATGATATGACAGTGCACAACTCCCCCTCGTTCTCATTTCTCATGCAAAATACCAAATCCACGCTTTCCCTCCTGTCACTATTATGCATGACGAGTTCTGGTAGCCCGAATAGCACTACAATCCAGTGCAAATTTGCCATGCAAAACCGGCACTGTTGCTGATGCTTGTATTGCCGTTCATGCTATACAAATGCGGGGGAGGGGGAGTTGTGCACTGGCTGCATACATGATCCCAATCGGGGAATACATCGCGGCAGAATCGGTCGAGACCTCGATGATTACCTCGGCACAGGGTACCGCTACCGTTCGCCTGCAGAACGCCGGAGTTTACAAAACCACGTATTACCTGAAGCACGACTATGTCACAGTTGGACAAGAGAAGCTGGATGTCAGCAATTTTCCACCGCAGATCGTGTTCCCTGCTGTAGAGAACAACGAAATACCCTCCGGGTTTGTTGGCGGCAACACTGCAGACGCGAAGTTACCGAGTAATAACTGCGTCAGCCGGAATTGCGATAGCATCCGGAATATGAATTGCAAAAGTATCGTACTCGTACAAATGCATTACAAATTTCCTCAGCATGAGAAATAAAATTTGCAATGCTGATTTACCTTAAGAAAGAGATTTGTAATGCAGGCCTTGCATTTATACGAGTGCGATACTTTTGCACAGGATACGGAACGAAAAGCAGTGCTGCCAGCGGCGGGGAGTGTGCCCGGGGTATTTACCCGGTTTGACCGTGGATCCCTATGGGATTCTACACTCGGCTTACTTTGACGAATCCGCGCAGGTGGACAGTTATCATCTGTAAAAACCTCCCCACCCCAGAGTTGTCATGCAGATTTCGCCTAGAGGTTCGTATGGGGAGGGCTAACTGAGCAGGATAGAGAGTCTCGATTTCGATATCTGTTTGCGTATCGCGGTTTTACAGCGTTAGCGCTCGTTGTTCGATTGGCTAAAGCAACACACAAAACCAAACGGATTCCACAGTTGGGGCAAAGGATGGGGTAGTGGAGTAGGTAGCTTAGATGTCCACTACGCCTGATGCCCCAACAGACTCAGCGACATTCTCTATCTGTTACTAGCTCGCATTTTTTTTTCGGGCGGGGACGCAAAGGAAGGGCAAAGATAAAGATGTCGCTAGTGCGTGACTCCTAACGTTAAAAAAGGCCCCAGCGAGTCGCTTTTTATTTCTTTACAAATGGACCCAAAACAGGAGACCTAAAGTTCGGGTGTGAATTTCTTCGCCCGGCTTCTGCTCCCTTCCTTGAGTTGCTGCGGTGTTGAAGTTCTCACTCATGCTCGACTGTGTAGGAGGGTTGATGTTGCCTCACCCCTCTAAGGTCTCAGGAGTCACGCTGCCACACTGTC